TAGATATTTCAAAAACATTAATGTATGATTTTCATTATAACTATATGATTAAAAAGTTTAGTAAAATCAAATTATTGTATACAGATACGGATAGTTTAATATATCATATATTTACAAATGATTTTTACACTGATATAAAACCTGACCTTTCATCATACTTTGATACCTCAGATTATGATACAAATAATATTTTTGAATATCCAAAATTAAATAAAAAGAAATTAGGTTTTTTTAAAGATGAAAATAATGGTAAAATCATGAAAGAATTTGTGGGTTTACGATCCAAAATGTACGCTTTTAACTTAGAGAATAAGACTATAGCCAAGGCAAAAGGGGTAAATAAATGTATCACTAAAAAGATGACAATGAATAGTTATAAGTCTTCTCTATTTAATAAAAAAGTGCAATATTATAGTATGCTTAGATTTAAATCAATTAAACACACAATTTTCACACAAAAATTAAATAAGATAGGTTTATCATATAATGACACAAAGAGACATATTTTAGATAATAATATTGAAACATTAGCTTGGGGTCATTATAAACTGCGTTAAGTGTTGATAGTTTTTACTTTTATGTCTGCGTTTAAGAAAAATTTATATTGATTGTAAAATTATGATAATACTATAATATGACGTAGTTTATTACATATTTAATCATTGTTTTATTGTAAATAATTTAAGTTAATTGTTGTTTCTATTTATTTGAGGTTGAGTTAATTGTAAAATTATGATGTACTATTGTTGTTTCTATTTATTTGAGGTTGAGTTAATTGTAAAATTATGATGTACTAATTGTGTTAGAAATAGTATACAGATAATTCTGTTTTATATAATTTTTGGAATATATATTAATTGTTTACACCAACACTTTCATTTTTTATTTCACCCCTTTGAACTTTAGACGTGTGTTATGTTTCACTTTATCCATCCGTTCACTGCTATTGTGGCAGGACCAAGTGGGTGTGGGAAGTCAAATTTTGTAACAAATTTCATAAAATCAGTTACAGAAATATGTAATTGTGATTTTAATCAGATCACATGGTGCTTTGATGAAATGCAACCATTATATAATTTACCAAATGTTAACTATCATCAAGGAATTCCAAATCTTAATATGTTTGATGGTGAAAACCCACATCTTGTTATTATTGATGATCTAATGAGAGAGTCCGATGGAAGAATTGTGGATATATTTACAAAAGGTAGTCATCACAGGAATCTTAGTGTATTTTATCTAACACAAAATTTATTTCATCAGGGTAAAGGACAAAGAGACATATCTTTAAACTCAAGTTATATAATATATTTTAAAAACCCTCGAGATAAAACTCAAATAAGATATTTAGCAAGACAAGTATCACCAGATAACCCAAAATTCATTGAAAATGCCTACAGGGATGCAACTCTAGAGGCGCATGGATATTTAATGGTAGATTTAAAACAGAATACCAATGATTTTTGTCGTATCAAGACAAATGTCTTTCCATTTAATGGTTTCTGTACAGTCTACGTCCCCACAAAAGAGTTTAAATACACCAAGAATCAAACAATTGAAATCATTGCTAAATGATGCATCGTCGACTCACAACGTATAAACATTTGCTAACCGCTTTGCATACGCTTAAACCAAAATATCAAAGAGCATTACTTGAAACGTGTGATGAAGAAGAAATTAACTGTATTTGTGAGTGTATTCATAACGTTTTACAAGGAAAAGTACCTCTTAAAGATCAGGATAAACAAAAATTGAATAAACATAAAAACATACTCCGTAAACTAGTACGTAAGTGTAAACATAAACTAAGAAAAAATATAATTATACAAAAAGGAGGGGCTTTCTTACCAACAATATTAGGTGCAATATTGAGTGGATTAGTGAGTGGACTAGCCAGTTAACATGGAAAATGCAAAGAAAATGATACTTATCGAACCTGGATTGATTGAAAAATTAAAACAAGAAAATAAGGTTAATAGTAATTTATCTCGATTAGATATTGAAATGCAAAATATTATGAATAGTAAGACGGAAGACCGAAAGAAATGGATATTATATTTACAAACACTGCAAAGATACCTTCATTTTACCGAAGAGGATCGTCAACCACTCAAATTACCAATTTATTCTGATACATCTAATGAAGATTCAAATGAGTCAAAAATTGGTTTTAAAAATAAAGATAGAGATCTAAAAACTTCAGTTGATATTGAATCTTTGCTGGAGGAGAATCGATCCATTAAAAGTAAAGAAAATGATGAAAATCCACTTTACACACCAGCTCAAATACTCAGTTTAATACCAAAAACTTATCATAAAAAAGGGCAGTTATTATTAAACTTAGTTGAAGCAAGTAAAAGTAAAATACATTGGGATAACGAAGGTACAGTCATAATTGATAGTGAAAAAATTCCTGGAAGTAATATTGTTGATTTAATAAATGATTCACTAAGACCCCTAAAAAGAAGTGATCCGGTAGGGTGGGTTAGATTTGCTGAAGCATTAAAAGATATTAAAGTACCACTTACTTATATTGGAAATCCAAGGAGATGTGAGTTTATTAACCAACTTCAAGCAAAAGATCTGAACAAACCCTCTGAGATTGAAGTTCAAGAGTTTGCTACACCGTGCAGTAGAGATAAAAAGTCTACAACTAAAATACGTAAAGGACTTGAGTGGGAAAAATGGACTCCGTACTAGAAGAAATTAACAGGATTTATTATGATCCATCTAATCCCGCTGGTTTTGGTAGTATTGATAAATTATCAAAAGCCATGAAGGGTAAAATGAATAAAAAGCAAGTAAAGGAATGGTTAAAATCACAAGAAACATACACATTACATAAACCCATTCGAAAAAAATTCCCGCGTAATAGGTACATTCTATCAAATATTAATGAACTGTGGCAAGCTGATTTAAGTGATATGCGAACTTATTCTCAATATAATGATGGTTTCAAGTATATACTTTGTATTATTGATGTATTTAGTAAATATGCTTTTGCAAGACCAATGAAAAAGAAAAACTCAGAAACAACTAAAGAATGTTTTGAAAGTATATTTACTGAAAGTAATTTAACACCTACTCACATACAATCCGATAAAGGTACAGAATTTGTTTCAAAAGATGTACAAAAATACTTTAAATCCAAAAAGATTAATTACTATACCACTAACAATCCTGACATTAAGGCCAGTATTGTTGAACGATTTCAAAGAACACTAAAAATGAAAATGTGGCGTTATTTCACTCATAATAATACTTATAGATATATAGATGTTTTACAAGATTTAATATACTCTTATAATCACAGCTTTCACTCTAGTATTAAGATGTGCCCATGTGATGTAAATTCCAACAATATTATGACAGTTTGGACTAATCTTTATGATAGACGGTCAAAAAAACTTTCTTTAGAAAATCCTAAACCAAATTTCAATGTGGGTGATTATGTTCGAATAACTAAATATAAACATGTATTCCAAAAAGGATATGAATCAAATTGGAGTGATGAAATATTTATTATATCTTCAATAATTGATAGATCTCCATGGGTTGTTTATACAATAACAGATTTACAAAATGAACCAATAATTGGTACTTTTTATGAAAGAGAATTACAGAAAATCACTTACAACCCCACCTCACAACATAAAATAGATAAAATAATTGACACTCGTTATTCAAGTAACAGAAAAGAAGTATTAGTGAAGTGGAAAGGTTATCCAGATAAATTTAACAGTTGGATTTTAGCTTCTAGTTTAAAAGAAATATGAATAAAGAAAGTTTCTATTTAACTTTGCTCAGCAATAGTTCAATGGAATACTTTCCTGATAACAAGACCACAAATTTTTCAACGAAATTACCAAAAGCTATAAAATTAGAAGGTGAATGGTCGGTTGGAGTTGTCGAGTTTCAATATCCATGTACCATGTTTACTGTTCAAGACCATGAAAATGTTATATACATTACAAAATCTATGTTAATGCCTAATGAAGATAAGCCATCCACAGTGTACTACAAAAAACATATTCCAGCTACCAACTATGATAACGTTGAGCATATTTTAAGAGTGTTAAATGGTATCGGAGAGAACTTGAAATTTCGCTATGATGAAATAACAAAATTTGTGTCTATTTCGGTATTGGATAAAAATATAACATCCGTAACATTATCACCCAAATTAAGTTTACAGCTAGGTTATGAACCAAACAAAAATCTCCTAGAGAGAAATTTTGGAAAGTGTCCTGCTAATTTACACTTAGGGTTACCATCTCAACTATTTCTATATTGCGACATTATCGATCCTCAGATTGTGGGTGATGTTATGACTCCTTTATTAAGAGTCATTTCATTAGATCCTACAAAATACATTTATGGTGCAAATAAAATGCACGTTTTCTCTCAACCTCACTACTTACCTGTTATGCGAAGAGAGTTCGATACGTTGGAAATAGTTATAAGATCGAGTACAGGACAAAAAATACCATTCCAGTTTGGAACCGTGTGTATTAAACTACATTTCCGAAAATTATAATAATGAATTCTCTTCGTGATCATCATAAATGTCCATATGAAAATTATTATACACATCAAGCTGGATCAGGAGTTGGAGTAATTTATAAGGGTTCACCATATCAACGCGGTCATGGTATTGGGAGCTTCTTAGGGGGGTTATTCAGATCAGTTTTACCTTTACTTTCAAGTGGTGCTCGAGTGATTGGTAAGGAGGCATTAAGCGCTGGAGTAGGACTTTTATCGGATATGGTTCAAGCCCGTCCTATGGAAGCCTCAATAAAAGATCGTCTAAAGCAAGTTAGTACGAATTTAAAACGAAAGGCTGATGAGAAAATTGATCAATTTAACATGACTGGATCTGGGTATAAAACTAAAAGAAAACGATTGACATCGTTCATTCCACCATTAACTGCTAAAGTGAAAGCTGCGAAAAAACTTAGTCTAAAACCAAAAAATATCAAAGATATATTTTCAAACTAAATATGTCTTTCCTTCATAATCATTCTTGCGAGTGCGTTAAGTCAGAATTGGATTTGTTTGCACTACCGTCTACACAAACTAGCATTGAAAATGGATTGTGGATTCATTATAAACCAATTTCATCTCTTGGTGATGATGGACCTATCGAGTTTCAAGTTCCTGGGACCGGCGATGACTACATAGATTTGTCTCATACATTACTCCACATAAAGGCAAAAGTATTAAATCAAGATTCAACTAACTTGGTATCTACTACAATAGTAGCACCTGTAAATAATTGGCTGCATTCACTTTTTAGTCAACTTGATGTTTATTTAAACCAAAAACTTGTATCACCACCTAATAATACCTATGCATATCGAGCATACATGGAAACCCTTTTAAACTATGCCCCTGCTGCTAAACAATCTCATCTTACTTGTAGTCTTTGGTATGAGGATACAGCAGGAAAAATGGATTCTACAGATGGTAAAAACATAGGATTTGTTAAAAGACAGGAATTGATTAGTGAAAGTAAGGAAATAGAAATGATTGGTCATCTTCACGGTGACATTTTTAACCAAGATAAATTTTTAATTAATGGTGTTGAAATGAGTGTTAAAATGGTTCGATCAAGAGAGAGTTTTAATTTAATTGTTGGGTCGAACGATGTAAAGTTTAAAGTTTGCATTACGGACGCAACTCTTATTGTGCGACGAGCACGAATTAATCCAAGTGTATTACTCGCACATCAAAAAGTTTTAGCTTCTACCACTGCTAAATATCCTATTACTCGAGCTGAAGTAAAAGTTTTAACAATTCCTTCAGGTGTTCAAGGAAAAACTCTTGATAATATATTTTTAGGACAGGTACCGAAAAGATTTATAATTGGATTTGTGAACAATTCTGCATTTAATGGTTCCCTTACTAAAAATCCATTTAACTTTGAAAACTATGGTATTAATTCTTTCAGCTTATATATTGATGGTCAACAAATACCTTCAAAAGCTTTGCAACCATCTTTTAATAATAGCATATTTACATCAGCATATCATACTCTATTCTCGGGAACTGGTATTCACTTTCTTAATGAAGGAAATGGAATCTCTTGTGAACAGTATGGCAAAGGTTACTGTCTATTAGCATTTGACTTAACTCCTGATTTATCAGCTAACTCATCAACTCATTGGAATCTCATAAAGCATGGTAGTGTAAGAATAGAAGTACGATTTGAATCCTCATTAATACAAACAATTAACTGTATAGTTTATGCTGAGTTTGATAATATTATTGAGATAGATAAAAACAGAAATGTTACTGTAGACTATAGTAGTTAAGGTTATAATATGTGTTGTGTGTTAGATTTTATGTGTTATGTGTAATGCATTTTGTGTGTATGTAACTATGTGAAACGTTATAAAATTAAATAAAACAAATTGTATGCAATATATTTTTTTTATTTCTTTATAAATCTTCTATTTAATCTAATACAAAACACTGTTCGAGTTGAAATTTTACATAAGCACACTGACTAAACCACTGAACATGCTGCTGCCAAGGATCATCATCATCTTCCCAATCTTTTAAACCACCACCACAATGGAAACACTTGGTCCCGTCTGCATGGCCAGTATAAAAGAAACCAGCTTCGGCAAGATCTTCAGGTTTCTGTCGCATAACTAGAGGCCAGTTTTCGAAACTAAGCAAACGGCTAGATTTTGAACTGAAGAATGGATATTCAGCTCTTGAGTACTGCATACTCTTCTCGTTTTCTTCTCCACTCAGTGTTGTAGTTTTGTTATTCAATGATGTGTTTTGTACACGTATGCCCCACTCATCTCTTCCTTCCGCTCTTGTCTTCCTGTAATTGAAGTAAACAGAATCACATTCACTAATGATCAGCTAATGACTGTCATTGTTAAAAAAGTATTTTTTAACTTTTTCACTTTCTGCTATTGTCTTTGTTATATTGTATACGAGGGCGTTTGTATTGTCGTAGATGCTATCCTTATTAGTCTTTACGTAATATTTAATTCTCGTGGAAGCATGTTTCCAATGATCAGTAGTTGGAATCTTGGATAGCTTCTTCATATCGTACATTTCAATTTTGATGAGATGCGTCGCTTGGTCTCCGTCGTCAGAATTAGTAGAAATGTATGATACACCATCTCTAGCGGCTCGTGCTACGGTTGATGATAACAGCTTCCTCTTTTTTATTTTTGATTCAGCTTCAAAAAAATGATCAATCGATTGCGATTTTCTTTTTCCACCATCGCATGTGTTATTATTAATGACGAGGTTATCACTCTCTTCTTGAGGGGAGAGTGGCGAGTAGTAATACTGTTTATAGGTATCTTCATCGAAGCTCAATGATTTCTGCAACAACACAGTTATCATGTTAATATCAATTTGTTAACACTTAATCATAAAAGTTAAAAAAGTTAAAGTTACAGCCTATTAAAGTCCACTGCTGAACATAGGCCTCCTCTCATTTCTGAGAGGGTTTTAGAGCAAGGAAATGTCCGCCGCGCTCCCTCAATGTGTGTTGGCGAACTTCACATGCCTTCGAAATTTTCTCAGACATGCAGGTTTCCTCACGATGTTTTCCTTCACCACCAAGCACGTGGTAATAAGCACTTAAAATTGCTATTAACAATTTAATTGGTGCTGGCGGGGATCGAACCCGGGTCGCGTACTGTGAAATTTACAGCTAGCGCTAACCATCTGAGTTACCACGGCTTAATCATATACATACACAATATTTAAATAAAATAATACACACACATGAAAATAACAGAAAAAAAGTAATTTAGTCAATAGAATAAACACTTACATCCATAGCCTTTGGTGTATTGAAGTAACACAAATGTACTATTGATAGATCCACTGTAGCCAAACGACCGTACACTAACTCGATGACTGCGTTTGTTGGTCTTATATACCACCAGTACGTAAAAATTCTAATCTAAAGTATTTCCGTAATGAGTTGATAATTACTTTATGCGTCAACCAGTTTATCTCACATTTCCGTTGCCTATCTCAACATTTCTTCGTATTGTGTTTTGTTTGGTGATCAATGACTCAAGTACGATTTGTATAACACAAAAATGCAATTTAATATTTAGAAACATATCAGTTTATCTCACATTTCCGTTGCCTATCTCAACATTTCTTCGTATTGTGTTTTGTTTGGTGATCAATGACTCAAGTACGATTTGTATATCACAAAAATGCAATTTAATATGTAGAAATCACTATAATTGACCATTCCTATGTTATTCATTGAGTAGCTAGGTACTGTAATAATCTACTAATAGCAGTAATATCATGGATACACTAGATGTACAACAACATCTGAAAAAGATTCACCCCAGTCTAGAAAATAATGTTTATGCAGCTAATAGACTGCCTATGTATACCCACGTACCAACGTATATAATATGTAATTTGGATACAGATGATAAACCAGGGTCACATTGGGTAGCTTTATATATCGATACGAATGACGTCGGTCAATATTTTGATTCATATGGACGATCACCTGTACGATATCATCTAGAGTTTTTAAAAAGGAATTGTAAAAGATGGAACTGGAATGTTGATAGGATTCAGAATGAGTGGACTTCAGTTTGTGGCGAATATTGCTTAATGTATTTACTATATAAGTTTCAAGGATGTTCAATACATAGTTTTACGAGTATATTTACAAGGAACACATTATTTATACAACGATATTTTAGTGGATGAGATGTTTCGCTCCTATTTTATAGATAATAATTAATAAGATTTTGTATTTTATAAATAAAAATTGTAACAAAATTATGTAATGTGTTTTATTGATGATTCAGATTAGCGTTGTATAAACAAAGAATTATAATAAACAATAGCACTGATATAGTCGACGCACACGCTGCAATGAAGGTGATTAAGGAACAATAGAACAATAGAAATAGGAACAACAATGGGACGCTAATGACGGTGGAGGCCCTTACCGGATATCAATTAGATATTAGCTAATTGATCTACACATCTCCGGAACCGTGCATTCTACACAAAAATGGACCGCGGATTCGTGATCAGAGCATGCCAAAACTTTTTTTTTTTTCTTTTTTTTTTAGGATCGGGCGTCGACGAACGTCGTTGAACCACGTCTGACTCAGGTGGTCTAGAAGTGGTACAACTACACTACTGACTATGCTAAGGATTTGATAAAAATGCAAGTTGAACATATTGCTTGGGTTCATCGTGTTGAGTTTATATCAATTAAAAGCTGTTTGAAGTAGCATTTTAAAGTCATATGTACGGAGAAGGAAATGAACATAGCATACAATTAACCGACTTTTGGATTATTACTGTGTAAGGACTCGTAAGAAACGTGATTTTGACATTCATTGAGTGGGGCCTATGTTCAGTATTGGACTTGTGCTAAGCTGTAATAATCATGATGATAAGGAATCGTCATATAAATTTTGGTGTGTCATACAATCACAGGAATAATGTTTTGTAACTTTAACCTGTTATTTTTTGTATCTTTTTACTTATTGGTGACGTTTTGATCAACCGTGATTGTTCAAGTGTATTTAACCTCATTATTTTATCACAAAATCTTTGCATCGTGAACGTATTACAAAGTATTACAGGAATTCTCATCCCTGTTTAGAAGGAAAAGCTTAAGCTTATTTTACCAAAATAGAATAAAATGCATGAAAATAAACTATCGCAACTTTAAGATATTACTATGATAGTTTGTAGATACTTAGTAAAAGAGCGAATGCAATTCACTAATTAATTAAATAGCAAACTTACGCTGCCGTTGAAAACAAAATAATAGTTATTAATTTTAAGACAAAGTTATATTTGTTAAAATTTCTACTTATTCGAAACACAAACGTATTTATTCCGTTTTCTTGGCTGGAGGCTAAATATAAACTTTCACTGTTTCATTCCAACTTATCTTCTTCTATCTTACTATAATAAAACTATACTGTATTAAAACTCTAAGTGAACAATTTTTGTGAATTGAATAGCTTTTTAAGCATGGGGCAACCGCAGTTTTTTTATTGTTGTTTTGATGTTATCAGAAAGATGCTGCTGCCCATCTACTTCCTCAGTTTCCCTCTGTCGCCTCTTACGACACCCACGGGAAGATATGGGGTAGTGGGTATTCTTACCGCCCACTACACGAGGACCGCCACGCACTAACATCAACGGCGAGTACATCACTCACCTTTGATTTGCCGACGATTGAGTTCTTATGACAGAATCGCTGGAGGACCTAAGCACTATCCTCAATGACCTCAATGGTACCTCCCAATGGATAGGTCTTAAGATGAATATGGACAAAACAGAGATCATGTCACACCTATGCCGGTAGTTGTTGGGAGCACTAAGCTCGAAGTTGTTAACGAGTTATACGAGTATGTTTACCTGGGACAAATTTTGTTACGTGGTAGAGCCATGCTGCAGCTATATTAGTAGTATAGTTGTAGCACGAATGTGTCGGCTCGACCGGGGAAGGACCACGTTCTCACAGAATACCAACGTAAAATAGCAGCTTTATGCTGCTGTGTTTCGTATGGTGAGTGTGGAGAACCGGAGACCCCTTTTTACTGGTAATGAGGCATTCCATCTTAGTCCTCACGGGTGACAACGCATCTGCATTTTGATTTTTAATAGAGGATAGATGTAGATGTCTATGGACCGCAGCAACCATTTACCATCAGGTGGACTATGTGCTCGTTTGTCACCCTTATCCTATAAAAAAATGGTCCTACTAGGTATGTCCAACTTCGACCGAGTGGTCAATATACGGATACAACTCGGCTGGGCAGCGTTCGGGAAATTACGCCACATCTTCTCGTCAGGTATACCTCAAAACTTGAAAACGAGACTGTACAACCAGTGCGTATTGGCAGTGATGACCTATGGAACTGAGACGTGGTCCTTCTCTGCTGGCCGGATGAGGAAGCTCAAGGTCGTTCAGCGAGCTATGGAGAGGGCAATGCTCGGAGTTTCTCTGCGTGATAAACTTAGGAATGAGGATATCCGCAGTAGAACCAGAGTAACCGACATAGCCCAATGGATTAGTAAGCTGAAGTGGCAGTGGGCCGGCCATATAGCTCGAAGAACCGACAACCGATGGGGAAGAAATGTTCTCGAGTGGCGGCCTCGTACCGGTAGGCGAAGTGTAGGGCGTCCCCCCACGAGATGGAGTGACGACCTGGTAAGACATGCAGGAAGTCGATGGATGCAGGTGGCTCAGGGCCGTGCTTTGTGGCATTCTTTGGGGGAGGCCTATGTTCAGCAGTGGACTTGTGAAGGGCTGTAATGATGATGG